TTTGGCTTCTTTTGCTTTGTAGGGAGAGAGATGTGTATTTCCAGTTAGGAAATGGACTTCTGACTTTGCTAACCCATCAGAAATCATCGCTTTTCCCATTCTTCTTTCTGAGGAGAAACTACTCCAGTTTTATCCCTTTCTCTGACTCAGGTTTGCACTGTAATGTTTTGCTGGCCTGGCCGCATTAATTAGAAAGTCACGCTTTTGGATGACATCACTGTGCTGGCAAAATCCCTGGCAGCAGTTCTGACAACACACAGCTTTTGTTGTCCTAGTTATAGTTGGGGAGATGCTGTAGCAAATGCCACAACCAGAAAAGGCCCCTCGGCGCCTGCTCCCCTGTGCTGGGAAGCCTCTGAGGTGTAACCACAGTGGCAAAGACCCTGCAGAGCAGGCAAGTACCTCCGTGTCCTGAGGCTGATGGTGTCAGCCTTTCTCACAAGTGTAGCTGCTTTCTGAAAGTTTTGGTTGAGGTGTAAAGAAGACGAACCTAAGCTCTGGCGAACGTTGAGTGTTGGGTTTGGAGAGCTTCACAGGCATCGCTTTTATAGTCTTGCATTCTCTAGGGAAGAAAAGCACTGAGTTCTGCTGTGTGCGTGCAATTGATCTGTGCAACATCATGTGGGAGAAGTCCTGTTTTTCCTGTCTCATTGTGGGGAGTGCCCAGGAGAGCTGGTGTTAACCTCTCGTTTGCTGTCTCTGGTTGACTAGATGAGGGTACTTTCCATATTACTAAGACATAACCCCTGAGATGGGAGACCATATTTGCTTTCTGTTCCTCTGAGCTGAAAGCGTCCAAGCAGAAAATAGATCCCTTAAGTCACCTCACACTGCTCCTTAAACTAAAAATGAATTTGAAATTATACCCTTTCCCCTCTTTAATAGAGAAACCTGTGTTTATGAGCTTTAGGAGCTCCAAAGGTCAATTCTGGTTAGCTTATGCATCCACTTTAGAGATAATAAGTGACAAACTTTTGGCCATCATTCACATTATTTTGCATTTTCAAGCCATTCTGTACAATGGCAAGGACTGGGCACTTTTGACTTAAACTGAAGTTTATAGGCTTCATGGGCTTATCTCCCTCTTCTCTCTCCTCACAGTGAAGTCCTATGCATCATGGACTGACTGTCAGGACATCTTCTGGCTTACAGTCTCTGCTGAGCTGTGTCTGGCTCTTCCCTTTAGAGCCGGAATGTCAGAGGCATTTTCCTACTCGAAGATACCCAGAGCACATTGCACACCTTTGTTTCCAAAAGCCCAGCTTTGAACAGAGCAGGTGTATTGGGCAGGCAAGACTCTGCATAACAGGATGTTTCACAATATGTTTCTGGTGCATCTTTCAGGGAAAATTTCAGGTCCCTGGTGCAGAGCAGAAATATGAAAAATTCTTCTCCAGGGAGGGGACAACCCTTGGGATTTATGAGGAACATAAAGAGTATAAGTAAATTAATGAAATAGACTTCAGTACTACCAGCACTTCACAGCATTTCAGTATCTGCCTGCTAGCTGAATGGGATTCAGAGTATCCCTGGAAGATCTTCAGAGCATTCCTGGAAGGTCTTGAAAACTGTGCTTAATCTTGTTCTTAAGAAACTACGTGCTTAGCCTGAATTAAAAGAAGGCTGCAGATGTACAGGTAGTAAAATTATTGTAAATAATACCTGTGAACACTGCTATTAAAATGGAGCTCAGGTTTTTGAGCTAGAAGCTTCCATGGTAAGGGCGTCTACAGTCAGTCTCAGTTCTTCTTAGGCAAATGTGAACGTGGCACAAGTATGCACTCAGCAGACAGTTTCTAGCATATTGTTCAGAAAAAGAGGGAAAACAAACCCCCGAACCCTGGGATTTAAGAGAGCCTGAGAATTATTAGTACTGGAAAGAACAAAGATGT